ATTTTTTAATGGTTACTTATAATTGATTATGTTTTGGTAATATATTGCAGGCGCCAGTTGAGGATTTTGGAGGAGATAATGTTGATCATTGGCCTTTTTTCAGAACAGATAAGATATTTGATAGTCTTCAAAAAGCTGTTAACTATGCAGTCGGTATGGCAACTATCTGTGGTTTTGCACTTATTATTTCAAAGCACTCAAAGGGAGGAACATTGAGGATTCTTAATTGTAACCGAGGGGAACGTTATCGAGGTAATAAACTATCCAATCTTATTAATGCTGTCATGAGAAAGTCGAAAACAAAATTTACCGGATGCCTGTTTGAGATGAAATTGAAAAAAGTGGCCGGTACGAAAGATTCCTAGAGTGTATGTTTTCCTCTGGATGACCGGAAGGGATACCATAATCATCCGATGGTTTTGTATCCCGAGGGTCATCGACAGTTCAGCGGATTGAGTGAAAAGGCGAGACAGATCGTCCGTGACATGACAGCTGTCCAGGCAAGACCGGCGGTAATATTGGCAGCGATACAGGAGAAATACCCGTCTGACAACGCGGTTCGTCAACAGGTTTACAACTATAGGGCTAGAATCCAATCAGAGAGTTTCGAGGGTAGAGATGTGACTTCCCAGCTTATGCATCTGGCTAGCTGGGCTAATTACATAGTTTTCACCGATTCTGATAAGGACACACACACCTTGACACGTGTGTTCATGTCGCATCCCCAGTCAGCCCTTCTTTTTCAGACATATTATTGGTACGTCGGTATAGATTCGATGTACAAAACCAACAGGTACGTTAATTTATAAATAACAATTTAGTACGAATCTTAATTATTATGTCTGAGTATGTACGTTTTTTTATTCTTTGTTTGATTTTGTTGCCCTCATTTGCACAGGTACAAGATGCCGCTTGTGGAAATAATAGGGATGACGCCGTGCAACAAGAATTTCTTGATTGCATATGCAATTGTGAAGGACGAGAGCCAGAACAGCTACGACTGGGTTCTGAAGCGGTTGAGAGATCTGATTGGGTCTTATGTACATCCTTCAGTCATTGTCACTGACAGGGAGATGGGGTTGATGAATCCTATTATGACTAATTTTCCGATGTCTGCCCATCTTCTTTGCACGTGGCACATCAACAAGGATGTGGAACAGAGGGTCTATAAAATCACCCACAAAAATAGTCAATTCGCCGAGATGTTTACGCGTGGTCGGTGGAAGAAGATCACTAAAGCGAGCACGGTGGTCGAGTACGACACTGCCGTGAAGGACATGCAGCTTCGGTACAAGAAGTTCCCTCTTGTTATACAGTACGTAGAGGATACGTGGTTAGTCCACAAGGAAAAATTTGTCAAAGCGTGGACGAATCACTTCCTGCATTTGGGTAACACCACGTCGTGTAGGGTGGAGAGTTCCCACAATGTGTTGAAGCAGTGGCTTAACACGTCCACCGGTTCTCTTGACACAGTGTGGGAGAAGGCTCACAAAGAGATTGAGTCCCAACACACTCAAATCAGGTACGTTAATTTATTAAGCTACACATATTTATTGTGCAATTCATGTATCTATATATTTATATTTTTTTTTTTGCAGTTTTATTATATAACTACTCATAAGCAATTTAAAATCACATTAACTGGGATTATAATTTAAACATTTTTTCAAACTATTTATGTGATTTTTTTTTTGTTTTAACTCATTAAACAAGTATTTTTTACTAACATTAATTATTTAATTTTTATTAAATTGAACACAATTCTTATAATAATAGTATTCTTTTTTATCCAGTCAATTTTGTTCATACTAAATAAAGATTGCAAAATTTTTTATCCAACCAATTTTGACATCGTTCATTTTTATTAATGATAAAATATATAAAATTTGATATGCTATTATCTAACTTCTGATTTTAAATATTACGTACACATACATATAACATATAAAATTTTATTTGCATCTGTGCATGTGCACATGATCGAATACTAGTTAATTATAAATTCATCTTCATGCAATCTATTATCAAGGCCACGCTGGAGGAGTGCCGGAACAAACGGAGTTACCATTACACCGGATTTCCGTTCTCGCAGCTAACACTGAGGGTCTCGCATTATTGTTTGGAGTTATTGAACGAAGAGTATAAGAGAATGCGAGACTTGAGCGATGAGGTTACGACGCGCTGCGGGTGCGCACTCAGATGGACGCATGGACTTTCTTGTGCCTGTTACATGAGTATGACGTGTAATGCTAATAACCCAATTACAACGGACGACATTCACGAGTTCTGGATAACACTTGAGGTGTCAGGTGTAATTGTGATATTAAATTGAATGTTTTTTTTTTGCGTTTATTTTTTTTATACTTCACGTACTGTTTTATATATATATATATATATATAATTCATATATAGGTTATGATGTTTAATGTTTTAAATTTGGTTGTACGAACAGATGCCCAGAGTAGTGCACGACCATCCACGAGTAGTGCACGACCATCGACGGTTGGGTGGACATACCTGTCGTATTTTCGGAGCCTTGCGGAGGAGGTCGAAGAGGCCAATCCTGCGACCGTGCGTCATTTGAATCAGTACATTTACTCTCAGCTTCACCCTGACCAACAAGGTTACGGTCCACCTATTCAAAATTGCACAAAAACATTTAATATAACACTCACATTTAATATAACACTAATGATTTTTTACTTTGACCAACAAGGTTACGGAGAACCTGAGGTGAAGGAAAACACGCGAGGCCGACCAAAAAAGAGAAATTCAACGAAACGTGATCCATGTGTCTGGGAGTACCGAAAAGAGGTCGTCCGGTTGGCCGTAAAAGCACTTCGTCACAAGCACCGACAAGCTCGTCTTCTCAGCGTTCAGAAGGACCGACAGGTTGAATTCTAAATTAATTTCTTTGTGTTTTAATCAGTTCATCGAATTATGTTCATAAATAAATTCGATTATATATATTCTGACGTAAAATGTTTGTGATATTATAGAGACGTTCTCGACAGAATTCTTCGCTTACCGGTATTGGAATATCATTCCCTACATTGCGCACGACTACGTAGAGAGCTACTTGGATGTGACCGACGATGGGAACTGCGGATTCCGAGCAATTGCGAGCTATATTTTTGGTGACCAGGAGAAGTACCGGTTGGTAAGACAAATTATTGCAAATGAGATTGTGGGGAACATTCCGAGGTACGAGCCCATCTTCTATGACGGGATCGACGCAACACTCAATCGAATACGCTGGGACGGGGGCCCTTGTGGCCGTAACCACTGGATGGAAACTATGTGCGACCTCTTTCCCGTTGCCACATTTTTTAATGCAGTTGTCGTCTTGTTAGGCATGGGTGACCAAGGTAACAATCCCACCTTTTATAGTTCTACTGTACTGCCTCTCGTCGCACCATCAACGGCTACATATCCGGAGCGAGAGATCGTCTTGTGTCACCTTGGTTGTCACCCACACTACATTCGTGTTAATTTGGCGCCCGGCCATCCAATACCGCCTATATGCCCTTTTTGGACGTCACTTCGAGATAAGTCGGTTAACG